TTTCTCGCACGTTACTCCCTGTTATTAAGTCATAGTTGCCCTAAGTTCGACGGTTGAGCGTAGGGTTAACAATGGTTGTTCTTTCACTGATAAGAAAGCCTGTTTTACTATTGCAAGTCTGATTTTAAGCTCCTTATTTTTTTGCTCTAACTCCTTAACTCTAACATCACGTCTAGTATTCTCCTCCATAATCTGCTTTAAAAGTTCAGCTTTTTCTGCCTCAAACTCAGCATTCTTAGTTTCAAGTTCAATAATACGCTATTTTAATACTTCAAGCTTAAATGTCATGATTGATAAATTTTATAAAAAAGTGAAATATTCAAAAGTTAGTTAGTATATATAGAAACTGTGATATTTTATCAAAAGAAATAGATAAAATATGAAGTCACCAAATTTCTGAGACCGTGCGGTTTCAGAAAAATGCCAAGAAAATTTTTTTATTAATACATGTGAAAATAAATACAAGATTAGGATCTAGCCTGTGATACATGATAAATTTTCTATGCTATGACCCACACACTCATTTCTTAATAAATTTTTTCGTTCTTACTCTTTTACTATCCGGAGAATCATTAACTTTGACCCTATCTTTCAATAAGCTAACAATTACCTTCATAACCTTTTTAACACCTTGGTAAAGTTTCACATCATCTTTCATAATTTTCTCAGTAAGTACTATGTGATAGTCATCTTTCAAGTAATAAATCTTATCTGGTATATACATGAGAAAGTAATAATCTGAGGTTAAATAAAGAAAGACACGAATTAGTATATATGAACTATTTATAAAAAAAAATCATACAAGTTCTACCTGTGATCACAATTCCATAGAAGTAGTCAAACTCATCATCGAATACTATGGATGCTTTCCTTTTCTCGTGTTTATATAGTGAGAGCTTTTGAGTTGCATTATATTCTGCATATATCCCGCTACTAAATCCTTTTATTTTTCCTCTGTTATAGCTATCAACTCCTCATTAAAGACATCTATTATTTTTTTGATTGCGTAATTGACCCATCCTAAGGCTTCTTCACCTACAATTGGAAACTGCGGGTCTATGATAATTTCTTTCTCAGTGATTCTTTTGGCAATATAGATAGATGCATATAATATTGGAGTAATATACTCACAACGGTTAGCTTCATTACTGTCTGTTACTGAACTTATAATTCCTATTCTGTGTTTTATCTCTATTATAAACTGCTCTCTCACATTCTTTGGCGAGCTTCATGAGTCTCATTGCTGATCCACCTGGCATTTCCCATTACTCAAGTTTTTTTTCAGTCAAGTCAAAGAAGTCACGACCATTAACCTTGTGCTTGTGAATAATTTCCAAGTCCTCATTACTCACGAAGTTGATAAGCTCTTTTGTTTTATATTTTTAATTTCTTCTGCCAGTATAACTGTCTCATTTCTACTAACAGTAACGGAAGAAACTGGTATATCAAGTTTTAGACATAGCGCTATATTTGGCTCAGATAAAAAAATAGTGTTATGTTCTAGTAAGGTAAAAAAAATAAAATTTTGCAGATCATTCGGACTTGGACTGAAAAGTTAAATATTCAACTTATTGGTTGCTGATATATGTCACATTTATCAAAATCAATAGGCTATGATACAAATAAAAAAATACTTCTGGGGAGTATTCTACTGAAGGTTCTCCATCCTTCGCTGTCAAAAAAAATGTAGTCTGAAAGTTGAGATAACTATTGAATATGTTGTTCACACACTCATGATATTATTTGTGATTTCATATATAACCAATATATAGTATATAAATACATCTCTGCAATAATAATTTACTCTCTAATATCTTTAAACAATGTCTGATAGTAAGTAATAATACGTAATAAATTTACAACATCTCTTCTTTCTAAACCTAAAATGTATTTCGCAGGCACGTTCTCTTATCTCAACGCCATGATATACAGAATAACTCTTCACCTAAACTTGGACTTCAGGATTGCGATTATTCCAGCTATTTTAGAAAGCGCTATGATTTATTTCATGGATGCGACAGTAAATTTTCAAATAATTTATATTAAACTGAACTATAAATTCATGTTCCAATTTTTTGTTATTTTATTGATAGATCCTACTTAATACCAGCAATATAGTACCTCCCATTCCTCAATTTACCATCGTAGACTCTTAAGAAAATAACTTAAATACAGTAATTCTCAACGGGATAACGTGTTTTGTCATTTTCAAACCAGAAGGTACACGATGAGCCTAGGTAGACAAGTTATTTTTATGCTGAAAACTCAAATTCAGTAATGTAAAATCGTTGCACTCAGCATAAATTACTTTACAATTTAACAACAGGCAAATCAGATAACAGTTATTATGTTATCCTTTCATAAAATGTGATGACATTTTCTAATTTTTTTTAAAATTTTTAATTTTGCATTATTGGATATTTTATGTATTGCTGTAATAAAAAAAAATTCAACACGTATTTATAAATTTAAATGTAAATCAAATATCATATTCTTTATTATATTTTTTGTTGTAAAGTAATACATTGAAGTAAGGAAAAATAAGTTTAAAAAAAGATATTAGAGATTTGTGAAAATAGGTTCGTGGCATTCTAGGAATAAAAGCAATTCATGAATAAAATATCTAATATAGAAATATCTATATCAGATCAGGACTTTCTAAAAGTATTTGATGTAATGCATATAATATGATCTATTTCCAATAAATTTATTTTATCTATATTATGTTTAATAAATTCATGAAAAATAAAAATCATGAAAAATTCACGCACGTTTTGCCAAGAAAAAAATTTTTATTAATACATAAAAAAATAAATACAAGATCGAAAATATGCCCATGATACATGACGAAATTTCTATTCTTAAATTTTAATTCATTTTCCCTTCAAGATCGGTTACCTTGGTAACTCGCCTGACCTTACCCTTTTTATTTCCCTCAATTCTTCCCACCTTGTGAAAATTTCACTGGCTTTTTTACCTCCTCAATAACCATATAATATGGTCAAGAACTTCCTTCACTATTTCTTTCATACTCATTATCTTTGCTAAGTCTTCATTCTCATATACAACAAAAAGGGGCTTTGACAGCTAAAATGATGATTTCCTTTCACTGTTTAACATATATTCCATGAAGTACCATTTTTTCGCATCAGTTGCAATTCCCTAATACTTTATCCAAATTGTATTTATCATCCATTTTGTTTACTTTGCACTTATGATCTACTGATGATTCTATCTGCACAGTGGCTTATATGAAGTCCTATTTAAAGTCATCTTTTTTGACCTCAATCAAGCTAATTGTTCTTCCAGTTGTACATGATTCAATTTTATAGTCAAAATTCCCACTTTCATTTTTGCCTTCAACTAACTTTTCAGTTACTATTTTTATTTAGCTTTTAAATGGAAAAGTTATTAAGGCGAGTTAAGTATAAGAATAGATGCTTTTTGGAAAAATATATCTGCATGTGAAGTATGAAAATGTCTTGAGAGGAGACATTAAAATATTATTATCACATTCAAAGAATGAACCTAAATCTGAAAAATAAATATCTCTAACAATTTTAACTTTGAGATTTTTAAGAATATTATATCTAATTCTAAGATTAACAAGAGAAGCCTCTTAAATTCTGAAATACTGCTTTTTTTTCTACTACTATAATCGACTATGTTGTATTGAAAAGGTAATGATTAATCACTATTATCTGCCTTGCCACATAAGCAAAGTAATGTTTCATTTTTATATATTTTTTGAGTATAAGTATGATAAATAATATTATTATATATCTTTAAAATGAGCAATCTAGATAGGTCTTCTAACCAAATAAAAATATCACACTCTTTACATGATCCATATTCTGAGATAGTATTATTGGATTTAATTAAAGAAAAATTTGATTCTTTATGAAAAATGTTCTTTAAAGATATTTTAATATATTTAATGCAATTAATTTATGGTTTTGTTGCATTCTGGCTATACTTCATAAATAACTCACATTATGTCTTACCATTTGGGTCTATATTGATATTATCAGTAGTTATCTCTATCATATCAAATAGAATTTCTGTATTAGCTAAACTCTCTTGACTCTCTTGATTCTCTATGGTATCATTTTCTGAAAAATACTATATATCTTCTTATACAAGACCCTGTTTTTATAGTATCAGGCAAATGTTTAGAAAAACTATTTACTAGATTTTCACTAGCAATTACATACTACATTTCATCATTTGTTAATCCTCTTACAAATTACTTTCCTTGTATTTTTAGTACTGTAGAAGATAAGCCTATTTTGTGAAAGATTCTTTTTAGCTTAGTATTAGAAATTAATGTATAAAAATAATAGAAAAGTTAGAAGATAGGATGATTTCATGATTAGCATAGATATCTCTAATTCTATATGCGAATAATAATTACTAGAAAAAATATCTATATCTTAATATTGCCTCTCTCTTGTACTTTTAGTACTGCAGTAGATAATCTAATTATTTTAGCATTTTTTTTTCTGAATTAAGAAATAATGAAATGCTTTCTTTCTCAAAAAAATTTATTTTTGAGAGAAATAAAGTTGAAAAAAATAATGTGAATATATATGCGATTTACATGTAGCATAGCTTCTATTCTTTAGCAATAATTCTATTGACGTGTATATCTAAACCACTTATATGATTTAAAAAAAGAAATGATACTCTAGAACTATGTGAATATGTAATTCACTTGATAATTCTCCTAGATAGTCACCAGAGAGAAAATAGGACTTGTAACTATTTGAGATGCAGGATCATCAAAATATATGTTATCATCCTTAAGAGCTTCTGTGAGTATTTTAACTAAGTCATCATTTTCTTTAGGATTAGTTGATATTTTTCTTTTAACTTCACTAATCAAGCCATTTCTTCATATTGAAGCTTTTTATAAAGTTTGTAATCATACTTATCATCAAATTAGAGTCATCAGATTTGAAATATATATCAGAATCAGATTTATTGACATTAGAGTTAGATTTATTATCTGACTTAAAATAATCTGTAACATCTGATGATGCTGCTAAAATTATCATCTGAATCATGAGCTAAAGTAGTAATCACAGTTTCAGAGATTTCGTTCACATAACTAATGATTGTTTTCAATTTGACTTGTTCTATAATATAATCAATTTGAAGATTAGTGAGCCTTAAAATTTTGTCAGCACTACAGGTGACCTGTTGAACTATATATCCAGATATACATTCAAATAACCTATTAATTTTTCTCATTTTACAGGTCATTACTTGTAAATATCCAATCGAAAAATTTGCGAGATACAGCTTTATTTTATTATAGATCTACTTTCTTGCAGTCTGATCCGTAAGTTTCTTATTATTAGGACTAAGCTTCATAACTTTATCTTCAAACCTTTCAGAGAATAAACACTATAATATAATCATTGCAAAAATTTTATTCATATTAAAATATGTATTGCGGGCTTCAAACAATACACATAGAATTCAGACTAGTAATACATATAAAATACTATGTAATTGTTTATACAAATCCTTTAAAAAAAAAGTTAATTATATAGTAAAAGATTGCACCGCCATTCTTTTCGCCGGAGACTGTATGTGATATTTACAGTGCGCGATGAAAGTTTTTGGAATTACGTTTTTATTTATTGTTCTTCAAAACAACTCAAAAAATACTTGAAAATTTAAAATTATATATTTTATTATATAACGAAAAAAGAATATTAAGCTAAGTCAATAGCTTAGCTTATTGCCATCCCCCTCAATTATTTGTTCCAATTGTTTTAGCATGCTACGAACCAAATTAAGAAGAATTTTGAGCTCGATTTCCTCCCACTCTTTTTTAATTACATCAATAAAAAAATCTATAGTAATTGATTTTTTATTAATTACAAGATTGTTAACCTCTTTTTCCGCACATTCATTCAAAATTGACCACAAATTCTCAATCGGATTTAAAACTGGGCTATTCGATCGCCAATATAACAACCTCGGACATCGTTTAGAAAGAAGTTTTTAAGTTTCCTTGGCTGTGTGTTTAGGGTCATTTTCCTGTTAAAAGACCCAATACCTTCCTATTACATAATATCTAAAAATGGCTAATGCAATGATGTCACATGAAATAGTTATTTAAAAGATTATACATATTACAGGAGAAATCGTGATTTTTTACACTGAATTGTATTCCAGGAACTTTCGTCGCGCACCGTAGATTATATTATTTAGATTACATGTGGTATTCAGATTATATGAGATATTTAGATTATATGTGAAACTATTATATTACATGTGATATCCCACTTAGCCTAGATTATATTTCATTGTGTAGTATCATTTTTTACAATGAAAAGAAGATATATCTTCGTTCTCTTTGATTATGTTGTTATGGACGCTAAGCATAAAGTAAACATCAAAAAAATTCGCTGATACACTATATTAAAAAAATGTTTTTTTTATCAAAGATCATTATAGAAAAATATGGATATAATAAAAAAAGATTATAAAAATGAATTTTTTTTTGATCCTTCAAAGGAAAATGGCAAAATAAAAAATAAAAGAGATTTTTTAAGTCACCTATCGAAATAAAGGTTATAGATAAAATCTTCATAAAATAAATTTTTTTCAATTACACGTGGTTTTTAAAAAATTTCGGATATTCAGCTGGTATTTAAATTCACATTACAACAAAATTTGGCGATGTTTTTAAGCACGTTGATGTTGAAAACGAAATAGGGGATTATGATACGATAAATTATTAAGCGCTGATACATGGGACCTTTGCAATAAAAAAGGGAAACTGTCGGTCCAGTGAGATAAAAGGCCGGTCTTTTTGGACTGGAACTATGACCTTTGCATTTCGACTATCTCCGTCATTGACGGACATAATTTGTCAAATGAATGAAAACACTTTTATTTGGTAGCAATTAAAGAATTAATATTTAATAAAATTAAAGTTCCAATTAAAAATTAAAAGAATTCAGAAAATTATAAATGTTGAAGGAGGAATATGTCAAAATGCTCACTATTGAAAATAAATAATACAGTACAGTAAATTAATTCTCTTTTTCATCTCGATTTAAACATAATCGTTCTAATTTTTCACTTTCCCTTTGAGATACTCGGTCAGTTTTTGAAGTAATCTGTAGATAGAATCATA